ACTGCAGTAAAATTTGATGGGCTTTTAATGTGGGTATTGTTTTATGGTCAAGATACTTTTTTTTAAGTGAAAAGCTTATAAATTCTCCAAAAGTCACTTCATCATGAACTATCAATACTGATTGGCAATGTAGTGAAAACTTTACCATAATATGCATCACCAACAATATCTACTAATTTTTAAAGACTCTGGCACTCAAGTATCAGTAATAGCATGAATACCTCTTGTATCATTGCGGTAGGGATTTTTCTGGTAAACCAGTTAAAAGCACTGCAAAATTAATCTTAGGTCTTTTTGCTGCAAATCTTCATTTTTACTGGTCAATAAACAATTCAGGGAAATTTGGAACCAGTCATGAAGAATTTATAAAAGGAAGGTTTGTTTCCCCCCAAAAAATTAAGAGCTGGATTCTAGAGGTAGAAAAACATCCTGTTTTTTAGATGCAGTTTAAGATAGAATTTTCTACATGAATTACTGGCACTAATAACTTTCATTTCCCACCCACACCACTAAAGTACACCCATGATTTTAAAGATATTTATCTGGACCAGGCCTAGTATCCTCGTGATACCAGGAGTTCCATAAAGAACCTGTTACTCATTCTTTCAAACATCTACATCACCCTCACAGAATGACCATGAAAGTTTAATAGTGAGGAAATTGTCCAAGCTGAATTGAAGTTTGCAAAACTAAGGTCAGTTTTGGGGTAATTTAAGAGTGACTCAGTCTTCTAAAGTGAACAGGACCTGAAAGTCTTAAAAAAGGGAGCTCCTGAAAAGGTACAAATGAACCTTGTGCCACCAACTTACATCCCACAACACTCCTGTTACATGTACGTGCTATCTTACCACAGATTTAACAGCAGTCTTATGCAAGTAGCACCTCTAGCAGCAGAGACTGGCAGATCACTTCCAGCTTTTCCTTCCTGCCCAGCTATGAGGCAATACAGCAGTGCTGATGCTCAGCTCTTTTTATTCTTCTTTGTTCTACAACTCTTTAGATACCACAGCTTCCTTTGTAAGAAACAAAGCTGTGCTCATAGCTGCTCATTTCAAAATTACTGGAGAAAACATGTTTTCTAAAGAAAACCCATTTAATGATCAATGACTTCAGTCTAATGCCTGTTTACAAATAAAATACTCAAAAATTATTTTTTAATAACCTTTGCAGCTCCTGGAGGACCTCAAACTGGCAGAGATGGAAAAGAAAGTCCTCATGAAATCCTTATCAGGTACCTAATCCAAGCATTTTTGCATCATTAGCTCAGACAGCTAACCCCTGTCTGACAGGAGGTCAATGTTGTGGTGCAATCTGGTGCAGTTGTTGAGATGTAGTGTGAACATATGTGCTAAGAGTTGAATAGATATAAACAGGGCAACAGAATGCTCTGATGGAAAAAAACCAAAACAGCAAGTATTCTGCTTCTGTTCCAAGCATGGGTACAGGACTTGAATTGATTCCTATCTGCTGCTGGCAACTACATCACATTTCCCAGCGTAAACAAATTTCATATAAAAGTGACCTTTTGCTCTGATTTTTTTCTGACTGGAACGCTGTTCCAATTTTTCATTTCTTCAGTAGCAGGAACTTTCTGCTCTCTAACATACATTTATTTCTTGCCAGTCCTTATGTCAAAATAAAAGTGCTTTAAGTAGGGAACAAAGCAGTTTAAAAAATGTTTTGTAAATAAGCAAAATGCTCAAATTCAAATTAATACTGCCTAAAGCCCTAAACATTTTTTTCAGCGATGATTTCCACACACCTTCCAAAAAAACTCACATCACTTATAAATTTGTATTACCTATTTAGACAAGAAAGACAAGTCTTCAAAATTAGGAAAGTCTAAACTCAGTTGTTAACATTAAATATTGTTTTTTCTGAACACTTACTTTTATTCATACCAAAACACTTTGTCTCATAAGAACAATACACAGGACCATGCAAATCTACACTTAGATAAAACAAACGCAGACAGCTTGAAATAATTTCGGCAGTCATAATTTACCAAGATCACAATGCTTGACTGTGTACTAATAGAGTTTTAACAACTGAATTCTGGGGCTTTCTAGAGAAAAGGCCTAAAAACCTGTCATTTGACTGGTTTGACTTACTCGTCTGTTTATCCCAGTTGAAATGACCTGAAGAACCATTAAAAACCACCAACAAACCTTATTACATATGGTTTCATCTGTCTTTTTCTTCTCACTAGGTACCCTTTCAAAAAGCCTGAAAGGTTTATTTCAATCAGCTTCTCTTGGTTTTATGAGTTTTTTTAATGTCTGACTAGAATTTTTTCCTTTGCTTATCACATAGACTGCCAACACAACACAGTGAGGTGTTTGTTTCACAAAGCACTGTTTTTGAAAAAGAAGATGGCTTTCAGACAGGTATGAAGGGAAAACAAAGACAGTCTTTCACAAGCCTCAAATACAGCAATAGCAGGGTGGCCGCAAAATACTCCACAGTGAGAAGATTAGCAAAGTCTCAGTATGTCTAGTATCTCTAGCCGTCTCAGGCTCAAAGCTTCTCTCCCCCAGACACACACACAGAGCTTAATCACATCAGCTGGCATCCTACCCTCAACCGAGCATGAGTTGTTAGAACTGAGTACAGATATTTCAAACATTCACTGCGTCTCCCTTTGGGAAGAAGTCACATACCCAAAACAGCATCTCATGTTTTCCATTAAACCATAGCTTTTCATCTTTCCTCACAGCTCTGGAACTTGGAAAAGTTCCCTCAGGAGACAGCTGCTCTTTTTCTGCCTCTCACCACTGCTGTCCCAGTAGCTCCTACATACAGCCTTGCAGTGAGGGCAGCCAGTGCCCCAGGAGACTTGACTGTCCTGGCTGTCTGCCAGCGTTCACCCAGCACTGTTTCTGCGAAGTCCATTTCAGCTTCTCTTAGACAACCTATCTCAGAACAGCAATTTCCACTCAGGAGAGGAGTAAATTATATGGGATACACCAGTTCTCTTTACCAAATGGCCCTGGTCTTATGGTACCTGTTTGGGCAAGATAAACAAATGCAATTAATTAACCTCTCTCACACCCAAACTAGATTATTTATCTAAAACACTTCAACAATGCAGGTCAAGGAAAAGGCAATTTTCTTCAGCAAAACCTGCTGTAGCTTTTAGAGCTTCAGAAGCCATTAAAGGAAATGTCCATGAGCATTTAACAACTGTCAGATTTCCTGGATTTATCACTTGCTACCGAGTTCCTCCTACAGTAAACAAATCTTCGAGTCTTGAAGATAATTATCAACCCTACATCCTGAGCCAATCCTGCAGCTACCAAAGCAACTACAAGCCAAGAGCCAAGTTAGCTTTTTCTCTTACTAAACACACACACACACACACACACGTCTTTGCATACAAACCCTTATGGTAAAAAGTGTGTTAGAAGTATTTGTTCTAATTAAACAAAAAGTACTGCATGGGAAAAAATCTGCCCATCTTCAAAAGCAGATTTGCTGGTTGCCGTCAGGTCCAAAATATTTTTGAAACATGAAACACTATTCAGGGCTTTTTTCTGAAAAGATTACAGATGAAACATGTTTGGTAGGAACAGTCCTAACTTTCAATTATTTTCCTTTCATGTTCAGACCAGAAATCTGAAAATTGCCTCCCTCATCCCATGAGATATCATGCCTGAGCCAGTTGTGATTTAGATATCTCTGACAAGATATAAAAATATTTATTTGCTCAATGTGGAAGTTGTACTTACCAATGACACTGACAGAAAAGAGCACCTCTAACCTAGTGTTTACTATGGAAGAGAAAATGGCCTTAAGGCTTGTATGTTCTGTTCCATTTGACTTCTTAAATCCCTACACTCTTTCTTTGCTATTCCAGGCTTGGCTTTGAGTAGAAATTCCATTTTGGACCAGAGAAAACACTTCCCATCATGTCTGGTATGTACATTCCTAAAAAGGAGGACTGGTTTCAACTAATTAACATTCTCTAACGGAACAGCTGCTTTGCCAGAGGATTCATGATCAGCTCTAATTTGACTTCTAAGTGATTATTAGAGCAGCATGACAGCTATTACATTAGCTGTGAATGTAGCATTTCCCAAAAAGAGGGCAATAAATTAAAGACTGATATAGCAGAAAACTGACAAGACCTGGCAGGGCTTGAAAGTTGCTGCTTCATGTTGCATTTCCCAGAAGACTAACTTGGAAGGAAGGGCTGCTCTGATACCACTCCCCTCTCTGTTTCTTACATAGCCCTTAAGTGGGACAAAAGGAAGAATTATTTTCAGACAGAAAAAACAACTATGATTTCAGAAACCTTTTCCTCACACTTTATTTTAGGCTAAGACACCTTAGGAGTCAATTTTTTCACAGAAAAGCTATAGAGCATCTCTAAAACCAGTTCAAGTTCAACTTGTGTCAAGTTCACAAGCTGACAGGCAATATGCAGTCTGGTTGTTAGACTAAATACATGTCTTTCCTTTAGATTCTGTATCATGCAAACAGCTACCCTCAAATTCAAGTCAATGCCCTATTTGAGTCAAGAATAAAACATGTGGCAGGACTAAACATTACACTTATTCAGCAAGTCTTTGGGCATCTGTCACACAAGAAGCTTCACAGCCTGTGTTTACCCTTTCCTCTACTTAAAAAGCCCAGACTCAACCGCTGTCGGAGCCTGAATTAAGAATCATAATTATCACAGACCCAAATGGTTAGACATTTTCTTAACCTCAAATTTGCAGAATAATGTAAAATCAAAATATTCTTTCCCACACAAAATCTGAATGAAACAGTCCCTAAAAGCAAGTTGTGGCCATTACAGAAGAAAGAGAGATACTGGAAAATTATCTACCGCAATGCTGTCACCACTCTCTCCCCATTATCTGCTAAATCAAATCAGAACTGAGAAATCTTCAGACTAAAGCAACTGGTGCAAGGAAAAAAAAATCAAGTCTGAAGTTCTGCCGATCTAACAAGTACATAAATAAGTACTTTTCTGAAGTCAGTCCTTCATTTCTTTTTTATTATGTTTCCTGTAGGGATTCCGATTTTAGGTTATAAGCAAGGATTCCTAATTGCAGACCTTCTAATTGCTGCTTCAAATTTTATAAACTGCTTTCTTAGGTCTTTTGTAGAATCATTAGACAACACACTGTAGAAATATGGCTTCAAGTAACACATTCTCACAATATGGGGGTTCTTCCTGCAAAACTCAATCTCTAAAACAAGTTTTTCTTTAAAAAGAGAGCTATGAAAATCCTAGAGAAAAGTGAATGGACTGGGTGATCTGACAGACACATGCATATGAACACATTTTTCTAGATGTATAATCCAGCTTCCAGAAAGAAATTTGAGAGGCTCAAGTGATACATACATCCAATGAGAAGTAAGTTATAATATACCTTCACTGAACAAGGCAAACCAAGATCAGCAGCTCAGAAGCTGTAAGAAATTTTCAAAAGCTAAGTTAGTTTTAAAATTCAGGGCTACTTAACCCGTGAGAGAACAGTAGCAAATGAAAATGTAGATATTTAGACAGGTTTAAAATCATCATGTCTAGTCCCATCACAAATTAAACTGAAGAGCTATGTTAAACTTGTTAAACTGGTGGTCCAAAGATCACTTATTACTAGCATTTTACTTAAATGGGGTAAAGACAGGAGGGAGATGAGGAATTCCCCAATCAAACACTGTTAAATGCTTTACAGTTTTACTGAAGGATTTATCTTTTATTTTGCTTTTTAATCAGTACGATTATTTTGGTCTCTAGCTGGTGGTGACCCTGCATTTTGCACCAAGCTTTAGCTGATTAACAATCACAAAAAATGTATGTAAGTGGATTTGAATGCCAAAGGTGACAAAACTGACAAACTGGAGCCTGTTCCAAATTACAAATTTGCAAGACAGGCAAATGAATAAATGAATAAATTTATTTGAATCACTGTATAGCACAGCAGGGTTCATGATTAATCTAATTTCATAGTTTTAAAAGCTTTCTTCCTACCAAATGTAACAAGCTTTAGGAACTTCTACTATGTCTTCATGAATTTTGAACACTGAAAAACTCGAAGTTAAACCACACTATTAATTCACAGAATTATGTCAGAATATAATACTAAACTAAATGGAGACACATTTTTTAGTTCATGTATGTTTAGTTCCAGACAACAGACACAAAAAATATTTTCCCATGGCTCTAGCACTCCTTTGATCTGTTGATAGCATGTCTCTTCTGTGCAAATGTTATCTATACACATAAACTAAGGTCTGCATTGAGCAAGCAACTTTGTCAATAAGGACTTTCCAACTAATCAAAATTCCTTGAAATGTGGAAGATACTAACAACTCTGGAACTTGCCCAGGTCAAGCATCTGCAACTACTGAACACAACCCACTTTCAATACCAAGCCTTTAAGCTGTTTCCTGAAACAGGATACATTTGTGTACATAGTGATTGTATATTTATTTTACAACAAAAATGCTTTCCCCTCCTCCCCCCACCAAAAAAAAAAAAGAAGGAAAAAAACCAATCCCATCCTTCCATACTTTGGGCAACTCTACAACCCCATGTGTATTTCTTTCAGAGACGTAACAACATGAGAGCACTAGATTAAAAAAAAGAAAAATACACAAAATACAAAGTCATGGCAGAATTTTAATTTTAAGTGTAAATAATTCAAGGAATCAAAAGAATCACTATTGTCACATTTTCTTACCAGATGAAACAAAAAAAAATGCAACAAAATGGGCACTTCTTTTCCTTGATGCTAACTACAGGCACAAAACAGAAAATCACCATTGTAATCATGTAGTACACAGCAAAAACTCTTCATAACTTCTGGTTTACAATGGAATAATTGTAACCAATCTTGTCTGATAAATAGCAATCTATCCCACAACCAAAGAACAGTTTGATTTGTCTCTCAGAGAGTTTGTTGAGAAAAACCAAGAATTTCTGGTGTACTACAAATGGGAATATGTCATTTGTGTACAGCTGCAACAAACTGCATTAATTAAAGAGAATATACTACTATACCATCCAATGTTATAAAAGCTTGGAGAAATTAACGACTTATTTAGATATGAGTTTTTTTAAGGCCTAATTTGCTTCATATAATTAGTATTTCCTGGACAACTTCTTCTGCTTCCTATTTTATTTTTCTAGATTAAACTAGATACAACAGGAATCAAGGTGCTTTGCAGCTAAATGAGTGTATAATAAACTTACGCAAATTAAAATAAAAATAAATTAATTTAAGCAGTCTTAACTGCTAAAGAAATCTTACCTGAGCATTCTATGACTTGTGGCACCCAACACCATTCAAGACAAAAAAAAGCTCAAGTAACATAATTCAGGTGTGCAAGCTGACAGTAAACAAGTGTCTCAATGGGCTTGCTGTCTTCAACAAGTAAGAATCGAAGTGTTACAGCTCTAATAGATGTTCTATTCAATAATTTCTTAGATTGTGTGGATGATATAGAAAAGGGAGATGGCTTTAATTCAAAAGTACTTCTCTATCAAGTCTAGACTGATGTTTCAGCTACCAATAGATAGTATTAAATTCAGAGGATTGGCACCCATGAACGTTTTGGCACCCTTAAAAACGATTTTCCTAAAACTATTTTACCCAGACTAGGAGTTTTGATGGTTTTATTTCTTAATGTTCCATTCTTACAACACTTTCCATATTACAGAATTCTTCCGTGGTTCCTATTCTCACCTTCCATCACATATAAAAAAGTAATGCCTATTTACCCATACAAGCCACACCATCAAACCTTGGTTTCAAACAATACAACCATAGGGTTATGTCTGAATCTGAAAGCAATTTTTGCTTCCTCAAACGAAGATTTACTGCCCAGTGAAGAAACAAAACTGGTTTTGGCTCTAAGTACTTTGAGCTGATCAAATAATTGAAGAAGTAATTTTCACTTTTATAGTTGCCACTATCTTAAGTTGAAGTTTGATTTATAATTTTGTCATCTTCATTTCTGTATCACAGTTTATGTATGTTTTTAAAGAAATATGCAAATAAAATATCAGATTATGAATTTAAGCTATTTGCTATCAGAAGATTCATTGTGGAAACTAGAGTCCTGATTTTCTAAGTTTTTTCCTGTATTTTCTCAAAACTGGGTGCTAAAAAATACCAATATACAGTTAATGACATCTTTTTAGTCTTCAGAACATTCTCCCAAGGTAACAGCATTCAAAGATAACTAAGTGGTTGCACTGAGATTCACCATTTGTCCTGCATCTACTATCATGTTAGCAAATAGATGTTAACTTAAAGGAACTGGTTGCTGAAAGACTGCTTCAAGTGTTTCACAGAAATATTTAAGTGGTTAGACTTACATCACCACATAAAGCCCTAAGAGATGATATTGACCCCATTCCTTTCACACACCTTATGAGGAACAGGGAGTTCTTACGAAGACCAAGCAGTTTTGACAGGTCTTCCAAGAAGTTTGTTTTGCAATACTCTTTTTAAGCACTTGAATAGAAATAGTCTAATGTGAATTTCTCTCTGTTAGTTTACTATTTTTTCCCTACAAATTTCACTAAGCTAGCAGTCTGCCCTAAGATGCAGACTAAGCAGCACTGGGGAGACAAATCAGTTTCTTGTATTGCTGGTGGTCCAGAACTGCAAAAACAGTCAGCTCAGCACAGCATACCAACAGCTATTACCATAGATTAGATATCAAGTAGTGTGCTGAGTAAAACCATATAAATGTATGTGTATGTTTACTATTGAAAGTTTTTAATTACATATCCTAGTACATCTGCACACAGTATTCAGGTTGGGAGGACCTTTAATGTCACTTCAACATGACACGGAAAATAAACTGGAATGAAGTCACTGTTATCAATCCTCTTCAGAGCTAGATTCATCCTCCTGATCAGAGAGCTCAGCAACAGGAAAGCGGAGGATAGCTGCCACCCCTGTGAGCTGGCCCAGCTGCTCTCCAGACACATGGAGGCTGGAGAAAATGCGTACTGTGCCCATGTTCTCCCGTACGCTATCTACCAATTTAACGTATCGGGCACGTGTAGCCACATCCTGGTGCCGAAAAAGCTCATCACTGATCAGCAAGGTATCAATGGCCATGGCTTCATTGGCCTTCTCCACATGTTTCAGGCCATAAAAAGCCCGGTCAGGCTCGTGCTGCAGCATTTTATAGAAGTCATCTAAGGCTTTCACCTCCCCAGCTGCTTTAGTGTCAGACAGACGGCTAGTTACAGCTGGGTCGCAGAGTGCTTCCTTCAATGCGTATTTATGTCCTGAGGAAGAGTGGACCTAGAGTGAAAACAAAGTCAAAGGTTTGGTGTTTATGAAGAAAAAGGACCATTTTCTTGATTAACGAATCACAAACATCCTCCATTATACATAATATTAATCTTGATAATTGTTTGGGGAAATTATCTCCTACTTGAAACACAAATAATTTTCTTAATCTCTCCTGCAACCCAAAGCCTATACCAAATCCCCTCAATTGCCTGACAAGCAGCACAAGAAAACTGCCGCTCTTATTCAAAGGCTGGGGTAAATATACAAGCTCAACAGTTCCCAAGGTAAGGCTACTCGAAACTACCAAGAAACTAAGATCTAAGTCTAAGTCTCTTTTTCAGAACATTCAAGAAAACGAAGGTCCCTCAACACTGCAAGCATATAGTGCAAAAGCATCAACTCTGCAATTATTATGGTTGCAAAGCTGCAAATAGCTTAAAACTTCTCTCTGTTATCACTTTGCTACACATGGAAAAGGAGGGCTCTTGATGCATTGGGTCTTCTAAGTACTGGGATCATCAAGCACTGAGACTCACTTCACTACCCCTGCCCCCAGATCACCCCAGGCCTCTTCCAAACTAAAAATTACATAAGCATCCTCATAAAACCTATTTTAGGCTGTAAATATGCCTATTTCAGTATAAGGCTGAACCCCTCGCAACTCAACCAATGAGATGACTAAGAAACAAGGGGAAAAGGACAGCCTTTAATTATGTAGTACAAACTAACAACAAAATCGTAGTTAATTTTTGTAATACAAAATTAACTAATCTATACCACATCCAGGTACTTTTAAAAAGTTGTTATTAAACATGCAAGCTATCCAGTGTGACAGAGTAAGAGTGCAAAGTTTTTTCCAACCTGCACTTCACACTTAATTGAAAAGTAAATGTGCCTTTACAGGGAGTTTAAAATATCCAACACTTTCTCTACTCCACATTAAGGTATCCTAGGTGGGAACCATCCTTGTACCATGCCTGACTCCTTTACAGTTTGGGAGGCATGAGAATAATTTCCTTATGATGCTCAGTCAGAAATCTATTTTCTTTAATGACTTATTTCCCATGTAACTACCTTTTATTATCATCCACAACTCTCAAGCCTTTTTTTGCCCACTCTGGAGACTGCTTAGATCCTTACCTGCAGGAACTTGGACCTGTTCTCCAGCAGAAGTTTGTTGTCAGTCTTGACTGCCTGCTGGAACATGTAGTCACAAAACTGCTCCCGCACGAAACCTGGGCTAGCCACCAGTACACACTTCACCACCTCAAAGTTGATATGCCTCTGGATGGCTTGCATCACCTGCTCGTAAAACCTCTCCAGCGCTCGGTCGTGCTGACTGCAGTTCCCTTTCCTCTTGCGGGGGATGTTCACCTCCACCTTGGCACGAGTAAGCGTCATGCTCGGGGTGACAAGGCAGACGTGAGCCAACCCCTCCTGCATGACCACGGCCGCCACATCGGCGCTCCAGGCCGGGTCACAGGCCTGCTCGATGCGCTCCAGCACCACGCTGTCCCACTGCTTCTTCGCTAGGGTGAACTGCCGGTTAGGCTCCAGCTCGATGGTGTGGTAGGCGCCCATCTTCACATACTCGTTCTCTTGGATGTTCGTGCCCTTGACCCGCAGCTGGCAGGCCTGCGAGTCGAAGTCGATGGTCTCCACGCAGAGAGTGAGGGTGGTGCGGATGCGGTTGCTGCCCACGCTGCCCGTGGACGACTCGGTCTGAACCTTGCGGATGGTGGAGGCGCGCAGGCTGTCACCCACCTGCAGCAGGTTGTAGGTGTGCCACATGTCCTCAGGCTCCTCGGGGATCAGCGTCACCTGCCCCGCATTATCCTTCTCCAGGTCCTTCCTCACCAGCTTCATCCTGGCGGTTCCTCGCGCCGCTCCCCGGCCTCCCCCGTGCCACGGGGGCAGCGGGCAGCAGGCCTGTCCCGGGACGGAAGGCTGAGGGCTGGAGCCGGCGGGCCCACACACTCCCGGACGGACGGACCCACGCGCGGCCTTCCCGGAGCGCCCGCCGCCGCCCCCAACGCGCACGCGCAGCGTCCACGGCCGCCCCACGGCGCACGCGCACAGACCCGCTCCCTGCTACGGCGCTGCCGGGGCGCGCCCCGCCCCGCGCTGTCACCGCAGGCACGGCGCATGCGCGGGGAACCTGGCGGCGCGTCTTGAGGCTCCGTCCTGCGGAAGGAAAAATGCCGGGGCGGTGTGAGGGAGGGGGCCTGGGAAGCAGCCGCGTTGTTGCCGGGTGCTGCGAGCACTGAAAGTCGGCTACTCGCCAGGAGGGGGGGAGGGGGTCGTCCCCGCCTTCGTTCTTTCCCTCCAGCGCTTCACAGCGGCAGTCCAAACTCCTAAAGTCTTCTAACACCGTGCCGCACGGTTCAAAACACGAGGGGAAAAAAACAAACCAAAACCAAACGGCGAAAGCCAAGCAGTTGTGGAAGATTACAGGCACAGATGGCGAAACAGGCGAGCGGTACAGTCCCGTGGTTCAGCGAGTGCCAAGGGGCCAGGGGACCGCGGTGCCACCCAGCCCCGGCAGCCGCCGCCGCCTGAGGCGGAGCGGGGCGGCCGTCACCCATGGAAATGAAAACCAGACGCAGGCAACATCAGAACCTGAACTCTTACTTGGACGCTGCTCTTAAACTGAATTCCGGCTTAAAAGGTTTTGGTTAAATTTGCAAGTTACAGTTCAGCCAGTACTGAACCTTGACCGGCTTCCTTCCAGTTCTGAGATGCTAGGGAGGCACATAAGCACGTTTCAAACGAAGCTGGATGTTCACGTACAGAAATAAGATGCCTTGCTAAAACACGTATCAGTTCAATGATATTGCAAAGAAAATGGACCTGAACCGTTACTAGAATTTGCAGCTTAGACAAATTTAACAAGCCAGAAATAATGAAAAATTGTATCAACAAGAAGGGAAGAATATTGGAGAAGAAGAGAAGGTTATGTGGAGACCTCATAGCAACCTTCCGGTATATGACAGGAAAGAGGGCATCTGGAGAGGGATTCTTCATCAGGAACTGCAGTGACAGGACAATAAGTAAACGGTACAAAGTGAAAGAGGGGAAATTTAAGGTAACTAATATGAAGAAATTTTTCTTTGAGGGTGGTTAGACACTAGAATAGTGTCTAACCCCTGGCTGCCCAGGGAGGTTGTGGTTACCCCAACCCTGGTACTGATTGGACAAGGCCTTGAGTAAGCTAGTCTGTAGGGAATTGTCCTTGCCCATGGCCGGGTGGGTTGGGACTAGATGGTCTTTAATGCCCTTTCCAACCGCTTAAAAATCTATAATTCTATGATTCTAATTCTGTAGCTTATTTTTGAAACAGCGTACAACACTAGGAACTCCATTAAAGAATGAATGTTGTAAATTTAGAACAAAGAAAAGAGTGAGAATAGAAAAAAAAAGCTTGCATGAGAAATGATTAAATAAAAATAGGTTGAGAAAGTAGGCACACTAATGTGCCATGCTAAGTGTGTCTGGGCAATTGCAACAGATACATTAAGCTTGGAATGGCTACACAGTCTGGTAACAGAAAAGCATAGGGGTATCTTCTTACAGATGAGAGGGTAGCTACAAGGAAGTTTCTGTTTTCTATTAGCTTTTCTTTTTTTTGTTTTTAATAGAAAAAACAACCCACTGTGGATTATGGAATTTGCTGACTTGGAAAGGCTTTGGAGTCAATAATTTAATGAGATATAAGGCTACTGTGAGCAAAAATAATCCCATATCTCCCATTATGGTGTACCTATAAATTTCTCTTAAGTATCTAGCTCTAGTCAGTTGTGACAGGACAGTAGTGAACTCAGATCTGGCCCAGAAATGTGCATTCCTTTTCCCTAAGCTTGATACTGGTGTAAAAACAACTTTATCAGATATTACATAATAGGATTTATTTATCAGACCTCAGACTCTCTTCCGGTGAGTACACATGCTTAACTCTGTTAGCATGAATAGTTTCACAGAATCAAGCAGGACCACCCAAGGGAATATAACATAAGCACGTGTGTTTATTTAACTTGAACTTGTACATAGTAATAATTTTGCATTAACGTTTTAATGCAACAGCAGAGGCAGAGAACTTCTGCATTCAGCTTTTCTTTAGGAGAGAGTGTGCATTCAACTTTACTTTAGAGTTCCTTTCACTTATCTATTTAAATGCTGAGTGGTGAATTCATGGCAAATTTTTCTTCTTTACGTTCTTTGCATCTATAAAATTGCAAGGGTTCACCTCATGCTGTTCTTTCAAGAAAAAGTAGTTGTGGTGCATATTTAACTTCCACATTAAAATGTATTTTACTTTTTTACTGCTGTGTGTATACAAACTTTTCTGTGCTTATTCATTCCAGTCAAATTTTCACAAGCAGCCTTACATCCCTGGAGATACAACATATTTTAAATAAAGGTTCCAAGTTGGCATCCAGTATACTATCTAGTAGAAAATAAACATTCAGTTCAGGAAAACAGGTGACTTGCTGCATTAAAAGAACCCCCACAATAACACATGTGCATGTACACACATATACACACACCCTACGAGCAAAAAACTCACAACAAACAAACAAAACCACAATCAAAGAAGAAAGACCAACTTTGAAATGAAGTTGCCACTCAAAATCTCAAATTGACCGCTTTAGAAAGAGACATTTTGATATGGGCCTTTTCTCAAAAAGCAGGTTGTAAGATTTATAGAGTTATGAACACTGATCTACAAATATTTAGTGGGAAATGTAAACATCAATGATGTATCCAGTATCAGCAGAACCATTGTGAACTTAGAAAGGAAAATATTTACTAGAGATGATGCTTTGCCTACTCTGGTAAAAAGTAAATACAGGGTATTATTATTTGTTTGAGTATGTCAAAGTATGAGCAGTAGAAGAAAAACATCTCAAAAAAATTAAGAAGACCATAGAAAGTTTCTAAGTTCATTCTACCTTTGCTAATGACAGGGAGAGAGATGAATTTGACGATGGTAGAACCAAAACAAGTGTGTTCTTTTAACTTTTCATACAGTTTTAACATACAAGTTTAAAATTGCGTAGCCTGTTCCTGTCTTGGTGAAAGATTGAGACTATGTGTAGGACCTAAGAGTTGTTGCAATAAATCACTTTTCAAATACGATTTTATAGGTATTAATAATTACAGAAATTCGGCATCCATTTTTGGACCTTTTTAAGTACAGTGCAAGATAAAATGAAAATGGTGACAGCATATATTCTAGGGATTTTGGAGCCATGCTGGTTATAAGGTTATTATTCTGAAAATGTTTGAGACACGCTTTCCTGTATCTTCAAGTCCTGGTCAACTTCTTAATGAAGATAGGTTATGTACATATTTTAGACAAGAAAAGGTAATTTTCATAGGAAATCCCATCTCCTCCACATTATAGCCTCTTTAGCTAGAATTCATGCAAACATACTTATAATTCTGGATAAGAAAAACTAATAGGAAAGAATCTCTAAATTAGGCGGAAGTCTGCTAAGAGATGTTGGACATTATTTTTGAAAGAGCAAAGGATGAAAAAAGAGACACATGGAGAGGGAAACTTGGGAAAACATCTTTTTTCATGCTTTGCCTTTATCCTGTGACTTGTCCTGCCTCTACAAACTCTGAACAAAGATCACTTCATTTTCTGCATACAGTTCTGTCTTTATCTATTTATTTTCATCTCTTCTGTTATAAAGATGAGTGCAAGAAGACCATCATCAATAAGAAGTCCAGTAGGGAACAGGCTTTGCATAACACTGTTAAGTAAAGAAGTTTTTAAAGGTAATGTAACCCTTTAGACTGACTTCTTCATTCCTCATTTGTTGAAGTGTAGGGCTGGAGAAAACTTCAGCAGATCTCTAGTCAAACCACTTACATAGAGGCCACCTAAAGTAAACTCAGCCATCAGTTATAGCTGTTCATCCAACTTCCTCAAAGGTCCTGGTGAAAGAGACTATACAGAGGTGGGTTTTTTTTTTGGGTAGCCTAGCCATTCTTTACCTGAAGAGTAAGAAAATTCTGAATATTTCCTAAGATTTTTGAAAAGTCAGTTGCATAGATTTTCTTTTGTCCTTTTTTGGAATCTACAAGTATTCATCAATATCTTTGGAAATCAACATGTCCAATGTGGAAAGTCAGGACTGAGTGCTCTCACAAAACAAAGAAACGCTGACATCTGGAATAATATCCTCAGCAATAATACTTGGATAAAAAGATATATTTGAAATGTTCAACATTTTGCCCTTAGTGTTTCTCTTACTAGATAAGCAAGCCTAACTAATTCAGTCTTTTGTCATAGATCATTTTTCTCAGCCCTTCTCAATTCTATGTGCACTTCTGTCTGTTTGCATGTCAGACTTTCTGTGGTCAAGATTCTCAGAGGTCTCATCAAACAAAGTCAAAATAAAAAAGAACAAAAATCTATATAAATACACAAATGTACATAGCATCTCTATGTACCTCCTTTACTCTTGGTTCTTTTTGTCTGCTAGGGCCTTCCAGATTATTTGCTGTTTTTTTCTTTTAAGGAAGAGCAGCATGTAATTTATTTTTAAATTAATTTTAATGTCACCATATTTCTCTTTATGAAGAAAACCCCTTGTCCATATTTTTATGATATTTTGACTTATGTAGGACTACTTCTCTTATTTATCAGAGACAATTTGAATCTTTTACCTGGTATCTCTAATGCCTCCTCTTATTTCTAAGTCTATTCTCTTTCCCACCAGTCTTTTCAAAAAGAAACCCCCATGATAACACCACCAAAAAAGTAATCGCCTGGCAAATCTGGATGAGACTTGCTCTTGAAATGTTTTCCTATCTGACAGTAAACCTTTTTTTCATTACTGGTGAATTATCTGTCAGTGGCAACTCTGCAACTCTGCAGGGAAGTTGTGGCACACTAAGTTGTTGCTGTTTTACAGTGTCCTTCTTTGAAGGAAAATAAACCAAAACATGTTTTGGAGTATGTCACTGTAATAATAATGAAATTAAGAACAGTTATGAACAACAACTAAGTATGGTATGCCAAAAT